GGCACAGAGGAGGGTGCCAGGCACTGTGCCAGGTAGAAGCTTCAGCCACATGATCATGTGTAATCCTCACGTCTCATTAGAATCCTTTTTTTTTTTTTAAATATATTTTATTGATTTTGTACAGAGAGGAAGGGAGAGAGATAGTTAGAAACATCGATGAGAGAGAGTCATCGATTAGCTGCCTCTTGCACACCCCCTACTGGGGATATGCCCACAACCAAGGTACATGCCCTTGACCGGAATCGAACCCGGGTCCTTCAGTCCCCAAGCCGACGCTCTATCCATTGAGCCAAACCGGTCTCGGCTCATTAGAATCCTTCTTTAAGAGGGGAAAATAGCCTGGCCACGGTAGCTCAGTGGTTGAGTGTGGACCTATGAACTAGGAGCTCACCGCTGGATTCCGAGTCAGGGCACATGCCTGGGGTGGCAGGCTCAACCGCAGTGTGGGGCGTGCAGGAGGCCGATCAATGATTCTCTCTCATCACTGATGCTTCTATCTTTCTCCCCCTTTCCCTTCCTCTGTGAAATCAATAAAAATATATTTATAAGAAAAGAAAAGAAAAAAAAATTCAGCAAAGTGAATAGTCATATTTATCATAGTAACTTATTGTTTTTCGTAAAGAGGTGGGAAAAACAAGCCTCAAAAAAATTCTTTAATCTGACCCTAATGTTGTGTTTTCAAAATTATGTATAATATAGAGGGGGGAAAAAAGCTGCAAGGATATACACCTTAATAGTGGGTGTATCTCAATGGTAGGAATTTAATTTTTAAATTTTCTGTGTGTGTGTTTTTTTTTTCTCCCCTGAATCCCGGCAATGTGCATGTAAATCTTCTTGAAGCAAAGAAAACAAAAAAGGTTTTTCAGAAGCAGTTGTGAGGACTAGTGGATCAAAGTAATGAGAATGAATTACAGTGAGACCTTAATGACAGAAAAATCCAGATTCTTACTAGCTATGTGAGTTCCACTTGGCTTCTCCAAGTCTATTTCCTAAACAATAAAAGGGGATTACAGTCTTGTCCCAGTGAGCTGTTGCCAGGATTAACTGAAATGCAATATACATGAAAGTCCCAAGCACAGTACTTGGCGTAAAAGATGGTACTTAATAAATATTAAACCCGACTCTCGATAGTCACAGCTCTTCCTTGCTGCCCCGTGAAGGTCTCCAACCTACAGCTATCTCAGAGGACAGAAAGGAATTTGGTTTCCTTGTCAAAGGCCCTTTACTGGACCTGCAGCTGCCTATACACCTGATACTCTGCCCTCCTGTTTTGTTTTTATAACTTTTTTTTATTTTATTGATTTTTTTACCGAGAGGAAGAGAGAGGGACAGAGTTAGAAACATCGTTGAGAGAGAATCACCAATCAGCTGCCTCTTGCACACCCCACATGGGATGCACCTGCAACCCAGGTACATGCCCTTGACTGGATTCGAATCCGGGACCCCTCAGTTGGCAGGCTGATGCTCTATCCACTGAGCCAAGCTGGTTTCGGCCCTCTGTGTTTTTTTTTTGTTTGTTTTTTTTACCATCTGGAGACTTACAAGTTCTCACTTTTACTGAATTTTTATCTATTTGCTTCTCTCTCTCCCTTTGTCTCAACAATCTCAGCTGCCTAGATAGTATTCTTGAGTACATGAGACATTATTTTCAACATAATACATATTTACAGAGCACCTATGTTCTAAAGATGGCCCAGGCCTCCTACTCCCTATTTATATCATCCAGAAATATCCATATGAGCTCACAGTCCAGTTGAAATTTTAGAACCTTCAACAACCCCATGTGTTGCCTAACTGCTATAACAGGTATACACATCATGCTATGGAATGCCAGAGGGCAGATTAAGCAATGGATGCACATGTGTAGAGCAGAGAACGGTTAGTTTTGTTTTTTTTTAAAGTAATGATTCTTTCCTATGTTGTACACTAGCTTCCAATACCGTCTTCACAAAAGACAAAGGGTGCCATTTTGCCAAACTGATTCCACAGCCAGTTAGATCAATGCCTGAACTGAGCTATTTCCTCTCATCTTCAGAGTTATTAAAATTTGTTACCAGCAGCAAATTTGTGGAAAGTTTGGTCATCTGATGGTTTGACCAATGACCTGATGGTGCTGAGGCGTTGGAGAGGAGAGAGGTCCACGGAGTTACAAATTAGATTGTTCCCCTCAGACAATTATTATTGGAATATACACACATTCTGATTAACAGGCAGTTTTAAGACTCAAAAGGGACCAAAACCAGGCATTCTTTGACATTTGCATTACTTATTGGACAAACATGTCAATGGAAGTAAACAAATATTACATCTATAGTTCAGACTCTCAAATAATCTAATAAGCTTAAGTTTTCATTTTCCTTATTCCTTCCAGTCCTTATTCAAATCCATAAGTCCATGAACATGATAATAACCATGGATTAGATACAATGACAGTCTATATTCTACTTCTTCCTCGCACCCAGATGCATACTCAGAATGACGTTCAGTACAGCAATATTCAAAACCAAGGCACTGTAACAGCCCCTCCAGGCCTGCGGACTGACAGTCCGGTGGAAGATGTTGGCAGGGTAGTGAGACACACCCTGTTCTGCCTGTGTTATTTATGCCTCTGGCAGTGAAGCCCCTGACAAAGAAGCATGTCACTGGAACACATGCTCTTTGTTCATGGAGGTGCATGCCAGCACCGGCTGTGTCAGAAGGGACAGTGCCGGGTCTGTAGTCTACTCCTTCGGCCTTTTTTTTTGCTTTCTCTCTATTTGCTGCACATTGTGGTTATGTTTATTAATTACTTTGTAACTTAACCTTATAAAACACACATTTATCTTGTGAGGAGAGTCCTTCATACCCCTATGAGTTGGTCATAGAGGATAGGGTCCCAAGATTTGCCCATTTTTTTCCCTAAGGATCAGTACCACCTCTCCCATGAGCCACCAGGTTAGCAGTCAGTCTCTCTGGCACAGAGCTACCATGTCCCAGACTCCTTCAGCACCTCCCCCTTACCTGCAAGATGCCACCTGCATGTTCTTTTTGGTATTAAAGGTGCTCTACCGATGTTCCAGACCTCATGTTCCAAATCAGGCCCCCCATGCTGATTTTATTCCAATCAGACTGATTATATCGCAGAAAAGATGGCAGGCTTTAGAGTCAGACCCATCTGGGTTTAAACCCTAGCTCCTCCTCTGGTTGGCCATGCAGCTTAAGGTTCGGGTCCTCATCTGTAAAATGATTAAAATAAAATCTACTTCACAGTGGTGTCTTTGAAGTAAGTGAGAAAGAACATATCAAGCCCTAACAGTGGATGATCCATCATTGCTTGCGAGCTCATGGAATTGATTTGCTAGTTTTTCAGAAAAGCTTTCTCTCACGGCCTTGTTGTTCTCACCACCTTATACTTTAGTCCCCGTGTGACATCCTGAAGAGCACTTATCCTCACCATTTTCCCATCACAGAGAAGTCTGCTAAGACTAACATTTTAAGACTCTCGAAACTGCATACCAGAAAGTTTTTGCCTTTTCCAGAGCCTTTTAAAAACATTCTTTTGCTTTGAAATTTTAATTAATTACATATTTTTAAAAATTGTTATTAGTTTTGTTTGCCACAGGTAGAATGGGAGGGGGAAGTCTTAACTTTAAGGAAACCTTGGGTTGATGCATAGAATTGTTTTTCTCTACTCACAAGTAGTTCCCAATCTTTAGAGCCTTTTGTCTATATTAGAAGTAAGATGGTATCTGATTAGACACATGATGCATTTACTTATTTTAATCTTAATATAGGTAGTGTTACTTTAGGAGGTCTGCAAAGCAAACTTAATGCTCTAACCCTGGCTTTCAGGGAATTCTCTGAACCGGATCATTACAAAGGCTACCTGCCAAGCTTCACCCAAAACCGAGACCGTGAAGAATTCACACACCTCACAGGGGTCGCCTAAAGGAATAAAGGGATAAAAGTCTGGGGACAAACGGTAAAGCTCCAAGGCCCCATTAGAAATGCTAATTGCTGCCTTGCTAGCCTACATTTAACTGTTAAAAACCCAGGGAGGTTCTGCTGAACTCGGGGACGCTCAGCTCCTCTGCGGTTTGGGCAAGTGTCCGCAGCTGCACCCGTGTCCCCGCACAGGCCGGCTCCGCCCGGTGCCACGCGATGCACCGCGGGGTGACCGCGACTCCGCTCCCGACTGGGGTCCCCTTAGTCCTTCCGTGACTCCCCGGCCCCGTAGACAGCGGGGCTCGGCTGCTGGCTCACATCGTGGGGGAGTCGAGGGTGAACCCAACAAGCCCAAGGTTCCCGCGCTCCCTCCACGTGTCCCACTTCCGCGGGCGTCGGGCTGGCCTGGCCGAGCCTTCTCCGCGGCCGGACCTGGCCTTACGGTCCCCCGAAGCCGGACGGACTCTAAAGCCTCCTCTCCCCACGAGCCCCCCCGGGCAAACGTCCCAGTGCGGGGCGGGGACCCGCGTGCGGACGCAACGCGGTGGGCCCGGGGAGGCGGGGGTCTCAGTTCGGCGGTGGGCGGGGAAGCCCCCAGAGGAAGGTCTTACATCAGCCACCCCACGTGCAAGCGGAGGGAGGAAGTCGCTCGGGTCCCCCAGGAGGCGCCTTTCCCCGCTCCCCCCCGCCCCCCTCCGTCTCCCCGCCCCGTCCTGGGTGCAGCCGCAGCCGCCTAGTCCAGCGGCGCCGCGCGGGGCCGAGTGAGCGCAGCAGCCGCCTGCGCCGCGTCGCCGGGTTGGGCGCAGTGCGGCCCGCGGCCGGGGGCGGCGGTAGTGAGGCCCGCGCCGCGCTCCAGCCCCCTTTTCCCTCCATGGTTTCTCTCCACTCCCGCGAGTAACTTGGCTCCGGGGGCTCCGCTCGCCTGCCCGCGCGCCGCCCGCCGCCCAGCACCGCGCCGCCGGCCTCCGCCGCCAGCAGACCCCTCCCGACGGCCCCAGCTGCGCAGGCCGGGACGCCTCTCCCCCCTCCGCCTCCGCCGCGGAAAGTTAAGTTTGAAGAGGGGGGAAGAGGGGAACATGGACATGAAGAAGAGGATCCACCTGGAGCTGAGGAACCGGACCCCGGCAGCTGTAAGCAGAGCCCCCCCTCGCCCCTCTCCTCCAATGACTTGCATGTAATGGTGGCCACCTGCGGGGCCCCGGCCGCGGGCGCTCCGGCCTCGGCGCGGGGAAGGGCGGGCGCAGCTCGCGGGCTCGGACGGGGAAGGCGGGCGGGCGGGCGGCGGGCGCGGAGGGGGAGCCGGCGCGCGGGCATTAACTCTTTGGCGCCCGCCGGCCCCCGCGGCCGTCAGGGGAGGGCGGCGGGGTGGCGGGGAAGCAAACTTTGAGCTCCTCGCCCGCCGGGGTCCTTCCCGGAGGAGCGCGTGTGCGTGTGGCCGGTGGCGCGGGCGGGCGGGAGGGAGGAGGGGTTGTGTAACGCTGGGAGCCATGTTTGCAGCCTCCCGGGGTGCGCGGCCCGGCGGGACCTGGCCAGCCCAGCCCAGCGGCCGCGCGGCCAGCCCAGGCGGGGCCCAGGCCGGGCTTCGCGCGCCCCGGGCCGGCTGCGGAAGGGACCGGGGCGCGGGGGCGGACGTGGCTCTCGCAGCCAGGCCTTGCGGCGGCCGCCGGCCGGGAACCAGGGGCCAGGGGCCGGGACCGGGAGGCGCGGGGGCGCCCTGGCCGCGGAGGGCGGGGGGCGGGAAGCCCCTCGGTGCCCGGGCTCCGGCGGGCGCGGCCTGGCGCGCGCGGGGCGGGGGAGGGGCGAGCCCGGGCGGCGGAGGTGGCGCAACCGCCGCCCCTCCCGGGAGGGCCAAGTTTGAAAAAAGGACGCGGTTCCCGCCATTTTTCAAGCCTAAAAATAAAACTTTCCCCACCATGTCTCCTGCTCCCCGTTCGCCTCCGGGGCCTTCCCCGCGCCCGCTCCCTCAGGGCGGGCCCCGCTCGGCCCGGGCCGGCCGTTATGACGGCGGCTTGGCGCTCCCTCGCCGCGGCGGCGGGTTCCGGGGCCGCGGTCGGTCCGGGAGGCTGGCCCCTCGGTGTGGGCGGGCGGCGTTTTCCAGCGCCAGCCGGGGCGCGCCACAGGCCGACACAGCGCCATGTTGGCGGGCACCCGTCTCCCTCCGCTGCGGGCTCGGCCCTGCCCGCCCGCCTGCCTGCCTGCCCCACGCGGTAGCCCCGGCGGAGCTCGGGCTTCCCTGCCGCCTCGCGGGGCTCGGCTTGCACCGGCGGGAGGCGCGCTCCGCCGTTGGCTCCTCTCCTCTCGGGAGCGCTCCGTCCTCCCTCCCGCCCCCCATTCTTAAAAGGGCGATGTCAGGAGCCGGCTCCGCCCGGGCCGGGCGCCGGCGGCCTGGGCGGCCTCTGCCCGCGCACTGCCCGAGCGCGGCCGCCTGAGGCCTGCCGGCGCGGGCTGCGGCCGGGGGGCGGCGGGCGGACCTGGAAGAGTTGCCCCTCTCCCCCCACCGCGCTCTCCTGCCCGCCCCGCGGGTGCAGCGGCCTCCGCGGCTGGGCGCCTCGGCCAGACCCCGTGTTGGGTGAGCGGCGAGCCCGGCCGGGGTAGCCCTGCGCTCCGTGCAGCCGGAGGCTGCGGGAGTAACAAGTTGCCAACTTGTGGGAATTGAGCCAGGGGTGACCTGTGTGCACGAGGCTGTGAGTCCTGGGGGGGGGCACGAAGGCACTGCGGGGGACGCCCCGCCGCGTGGTCACCCCCAGCGCCCCTGTGGGGTCCGAGGACAGGGGCTTGTGGACCGCCTCCCCCTCCCCCGGCTTTTGAGGTTGAGGCCGGGTCACGCCTGCCCCGTCGGCTCCGCAGTCAGACATTTTGTGTGGGCCACGTGCTGGTGCGCTGAAGGGTTAAGCTGCCTCACGCCGCAGAACTCCAGAGCTGTGTTATCTGGAGTTGTAAATGCCTAGGTAATTTTAATAACCATTGTATATTGCATTGTGTATTATACTGAATTTTTTTTTTTTGTATATGAGGTAACATTACTTTTTTAAAGTGTACATATATGTGTGCAAGTATTAATTTTTTTAGGAATCAACAGGCCTTACCCTCTTGCCACAGCCTAGAGTCGTGTGGCTATTTAATTAAAATTAGGTTTGACAGTTGCACGATCCCCATTTCAAGTGTTCATAAGCCACAACTGACTAGTCGCTACTCTGTTGGACGGCACTAGCCTACAGTAATCCAGTGGTTTATTAAATAAATATTTGAGTGCCAACAGTATGCCAGGCCCTGGGAAAGCAGTGTGAACATGGCAGAGTGCTGCAGCCCCTTCCCCCCTGAGGCCTCAGACGCCTGTGGTGCCTGTTGCACTGGTGCAAGTTGGGGGTTTTGAGAGAGTTATAGGAGCCGGTTAAGATTGTGGGGATAAAGAAGGTTCCCCCAATGGATTCTGATTGGGAGACTGAGATCAGTAGGAGTTAGGTTCTTAGGAGAGGAAAGCATTGACCTTAAATAAGGCTTTACCAGGGAAAAAAGAAAAATGCTGCAGTTTAAAGGGAAATATTTATACGAGCATTATTAAGGCAAATGAGAAGTTCCAAGATGACACCATTAAAACCAAATTCAACTAGTCACATGGTTCCTTATCTTTGAGTGGGACCTGCTCTTAGAAAGTATCTATAGGTTTGGCCTTCAGGATTCTGAAGACTTGTCATTTGGGGAAGGAGGAAGAATTCTTTTTCCATTGAATGTATGAACAGAAAGCTCTTAAATGCCCCTAAGACTGTATTCCATGGTTGACCTTAATATCATCTAGTGAGAGCTAAGTGTTTGAGGAGGGTAAGTGGAAGTTTGATCATAAATCTTAGGGTATATGGCTTTTTTGTTCTTATTTTATTTGGGGGTTTGCAGAAGATCCTGCTAACACTTTACCTTGTGTTCTTGACCAAAGGCTTAGGTCAAGATAAAAGGTTCAGTTCATCTATTAGTATAGCCTTATTCTTTATAAACACAGATACATTAATTTCTCTGAGGGGGAGAGGACTAAAAATATATGTGTAATTCAGTGTTTTCTAAGTCCAGAACAGCTCTTTATATCAGAGGTCTGTTCTCATAGTGGAAAAAATGGTTAAGAAAAAAGGGTGATAATAACTTAAAACTATAAGCAAGGATAGGAAATGTTTTATGTAAAATATTTGTATCGTACTTCACTGAGAACAAATTGTACAGCCCTAAAACTTACCATATACAACACATAAATGGCTGGTACAAACACCTTATTAACTCTGCATCTAGGGACAGGTAGCCTGATAATAGCTCTGCTTGAGTTTTTCCTTCAAAATTAGAAAGCCAACCAGTTCCTGTGGTTACAGTCCATGCCCCTGTGGAACGTGCTGAGCTGTTTGCTAGACTGAGATATTTCATAGGCCATAAATAAAAGTCTTTCCTTAGTCCCAATTTACTGGGAAAAAAATTTAGGTTTTCCTCACATTTCTCCCAACTTTTGTTATCTATTGTTTTGCCTCTTTTGATGTAATTTTGAGTTCAATGGGATATTCTGATTGGGTATGCAGCAGCTAACTGGGTTTTCCCTTGTATAAGTAATAAATATTCATTAAAGAAAAAATTGATATAAATAAGCTAAAAAAGTAGATATTGAGAAGCAAAAATTTAAAAATAGAAATTTCATACATGCCCATTCTACAGTTTAGATATTCTGATGTTTAGCATTTATTTAGTTATGTAAATAAAATGCAGCAAACATCTTTATCTTTATGTAATTATTTTATTATAGCCTTACTGTTAATGTCTGCATTGGTTGTAATTTAATCATCCCATGGAATCGTTAGAAGTTTGTTTTGTTTGTTTTTTTGCCATTTAAATAGTATTAAAATGAGCATCTCATAAAGTGAATATCTTCTACCAAATTGCTTTTTGTTTATTTATTTATTTTTTTATTTAATCCTCACCCGAGGACATTTTTCCATTGATTTCTAAGGAGAGTGAGAGACGGAAAGACAGAGAGAAATATCTATGTGAGAGAAACACATCAGTTGGTTGCCTCCTGCATGAACCCCAACCAGGGCATAGGCCAGGAAGGAGTTTGCAACGAAGGTACATGCCCTTGACCACAATCAAACCCCAGACCCTTTGGTCTGTAAGCCACCGCTCTATCCACTGAGCTTAACCAGCTAGGGTCCAAATTGCTTTTTAGAATGGTTCCCTTTACCCACGAGTAGGATATAGATGTTTACTTCATGCCATTACTTCTACCACCCAAACACATTTGAGAACCACTAATATAAATCTTTTCTATTGTTAATTGAAAACATTTTTTAAAATAAAATAACAGTAGGGTAGAAGGTTTGAACAGTGGTTAATTTAGAAGAATGGAAATTAGCAAGAGTAGCAGGAGTTACTTTTTCTATCTTTTCAGATTATTTCACTTAGTACAATAATTATGAAATATTTTTTCCTAATCCTCACCCGATAATATTTTTTTAAAATATATTTTATTGATTTTGTACAGAGAGGAAGGGAGAGAGATAGAGAGTTAGAAACATCGATGAGAGAGAGTCATCCATCAGCTGCCTCTTGCACACCCCCCACCAGGGATATGTCCGCAACCAAGGTACATGCCCTTGACCGGAATCGAACCCGCGACCCTCCAGTCCCCAAGCCGACGCTCCATCCATTGAGCCAAACTGGCTTCAGCCCGATAATATTTTTTCCATTTAATTTTTAGAGTTGAAGGTGGAAGGGGGGAGAAAGAGAAACATCAATAAGAGAGAGACAATAATTAGACATGCATCCCGACCAGGACTGGGAACTGTGGGAATCTAATCCTGGACCCTTTAGTCCATGGGCCAACACTCTATCCACTGAGCCAAGTCGGCTAGGGTTGTATTTTCTAATTAAAGTAATTGGTAACTTAAAATTTTCTTTAATTTCTCCATAATTCCTCCCCCCCCACACACACACCCTCTGCTCTTGTGACAATTGGGGAAGGTACCCCAACCAGTTATGTAAAACTCCTCTCTCTCCCTCTCTCTCTCTCTCTCTCTCTCTCTCTCTCTCTCTCTCTCTCTCTCTCTCTCTCTCTCTCTCTCTCTTTAGTGTAGCAAGAGGAGTGGAAGACGAGAGCAAATTG